CGGCGCGCCGCCACGCGTCGAAGCACCGCCTCGTCGTCTCCAACGCGCGGTACTTCGCGCCGACCGCGGCGGCGGCGCCCTCCGCGGCGGCCGCCCACGCCGCGCACTCCCCCTTCGACCGCGTCAGCTCCTCCCCCGCGCGCCGCAGCGCCTCGGCGGACGCGTTCTCTTTTTTCGCGACGTGCTTCTTCCACCGCGCGTCGTTCTCGGCAATCTTCCGCCCCAGCCCCGCGGTCGTCGCCGCCGCGGTCTGCTTCGAGACCGCGAGCTCGTCCGCCTTTTTCTCGAGCGCCGCCTCCGCGGCGCGAACCGCGCCCTCCAACGCTTCGATCTTCTCCCGGAGATCCGCCTCCGCGCCCATCCGCGCGACGAGGGAGACGTCCAGCTCGTGCGTCAACTCCGCAGCTTTGGCCGCCTCCGCCGCCGCGCTCTCCTCCGCCGCCTCGACCGCGCGCTCGCTCGACTCGCGCTCGCGCAGGGCGTCCGCTTTCACGCGCTCGAGCTCCGTCTTGAGCGCAGCCTTCTCCCCCGCGGTCGCGGCGAGGAAAGCCTCCGCGGAGGCGCCGCGGCGTTCGGACGCCTCGAGCTCGGCGGCGGCTGACGCGACGCGCGCTTCGAGCGCGGCGATCAACGCGTCCGAAGCGGCGCGCGCGGTCGCGAGCTGCTCGGTCGCGGCGATCGCGGCCGTGGAGGCCGCCGCGGCTGCCGCCTCCGCGCTCGACGCGCGCGCGGACGCCTCCTCGAGCGCGGCGGAGAGGACGTCTTTTTCCGCCGCGAAAATTTCCGCGGCGGAGATCGCGGCGTCCTCCGCGGCGGCGAGCGCCCACCCGCTCTCTTCCGCCTCCATCGTCGCCGCGGACAGGGCTTCCTCGTGCGCGGCGCGCACACGCGCCGCGCTCGACGCGGCGACGCGTCGCGTCCACGCGCAGAACGCGCCGAGGAGTGTCGACCTCGCATTCGCCGCGGCGCGTTTCGCGCCGGCGAACGCAGCCGCGTTTCGCCTCCCTGCCGTAACCGCGGCCAACGCCGCCCAGCGCCGGAACGGCCTGAGCAGGAGCCGCCGCCGCTCCACCCCGGCGCGCTTGGTCGTCGCGACGGATATCGTCCGCAGGTCCATCGCGAGCGCCGCAGAAGCGCGTTTCGCCTCGTCGGACCACGCGCGGAGGCACGAGCGCGAGCGCCGGGTGGAGACCAAGGCGGCGCGTCGAGCCGCTCGCGCGGTCGCCGCCTCGACCCGCGCGGCTTCCCGCGCGGTCTCCCGCCAGCGTCGGAAGCCGACGCGCGCCGTCGCGAGTTGTTTGATTTGCAGATATCGTAACGCCGCGTCAAAGCGCGTTTTCGCCGCCGCCGCCGCCGCCGCCGCGAGCCGCGTCTCCGCGCGCCACGCGGCGAAACACCCGCGGCGCCTCGCCCGCTCGCGCGCCGATCGCACCCCGCCCGCGGCGCTCTCGCCGCGCATTGACGCCTTGTACTCGTACCCGCATCGCGACGCCGCGATGTCTCGCTCGTGCCACGTGCGGACGTCCAATAGTTCCGCGTCGTGCGCGGCTCGGAGCTCCGCGAGCGCGACGTCGCGCGCTTCGATCATCCGCTCGAGCGTCGCCTCCGCGCCGGCTATTCGCGCGCCCGCCTCGGCGTCGACGTCCCGCCGCGCCGCCTCGATCGTCGCATTTCGCGACGTCGACAGCGCCTCCATCTCCCTCGCGTGCTTCTCCGCGAGCGCGGCTAGCTCCTCCGCGTGCGCCGCGCGCGCCGCCTTCGCCGCGGACGCGAGCGCGGCGACCTCTGCCGTCGCCGCGGCCGCGCGCCGGGTCTCCGCGCTGAGCCGTTTCGCGACGTCGACGGCTTCGTTCTTCGCGGCGAGCACCTCGGCGATGTGCGCGTTTAAAACGCCCTCTTCTCGCGCGTTAAAGCTCGCGCGCAGGTCCTCGACGGCAGCGGCGTGCGACGCGGCGGCGTCCTCCGTCGCCGCCGCGTGCGCGGCTCTCAGCGCGTCCATCTCCCGCGCGTGCGCGACGCGGACGTCGTCGAGCGCCTTCTCGCGCGCCACCCTCAGCTCCGCCTCGGTCCGCGCCGCCGTCGCCTCCGCGACGTCGACGTTCGCGCCGACGATCCCGCGTTCTCTCGCCTCGAAGCTCTTCTTCAACGACGCGACGTGCGCGGCGTGCGCCTCCTCGAGCTCGGCAATCTCCCCCGCGTGCTCCGCGCACTTGTCCTCGACGTCCTTCTCGTGCGTCGCGACCAAGTCCGCCTCCGTCTCTTTCTTCTCGAGCAGTAACGTCTCGATCCGCGCCTCGTACGTCTCTCGCGTCGCGTCGAGTTCCGCCGCGTGCTCCGCCGCGAGCGTCGCGCGTACTTCGTCGAGCTCGGCGGCGTGCGTCGCGTCCGCCTCCGCCGCCTCGAGCGCGTTGTGCTCGCCCAGGAGGAGGTTCGCCGCGACCGTTCGCGCCATCGCGGCGTCGTACGCGTCCGCGGCGTCATACGCGGAGCGCGCGTGCGCGTCGCGAAGCGCCGCGAGCTCAGCCTCGTGCGCCGCTTTGAGACGGTCGGTCGACTTGGCCGCCGCCGCCGCCGCGCCCTCGAGCGCCGATCGGAGACCTCTCTCGTGCTTCGCGTCCTTCGCCAGCAGCGCCGCCTCGTGCGCGTCGTGAAGTCGTCTCATCGCCGCCTCGTGCGACGCCTCGACGCGGAACTTTTCCGCGGCGTGCGTCCGCTTGAGAAGCGCGAGCTCGCCGTCCCGCGTGGAGGCGACGATCTTCTCCTCGAGCTCGGCGAGGCTCCGCGCCGCCGCGTCGGACGCCTTCTTCAGCTCCCTTCGAAGCGTCGCCTCGTGCGTCTTCGCCGCCGCCGCCGCGGCGTCGCTCGACGCTCTCTTCACCGCGTCCATCTCCGCCGCGTGCGCCTCCTTCAGGGTCGTTCTATACAAGCGAACGTCGGGGTGGAGTTGAAAGGCGTCAGTTGGCGTTGAAAGGCCCCGAGGACGGGGATTGAAAGCGAGGGACCCTGGGCGGAGAGACGCGCCGGGCAAAGTCCTTAAGGAACGGCGTTCACCACGCCAACGGGGTCGTATGGGGACCAGTGTATAGAACGCACCTCAGCGTCTTCAGCTCGGTCGCGTGGGACGCGTCAGCCTCTCTCATCGCCGCCGCCGCCGCCGCCGCCGCCGCCGCCGCCGCCGCCGCGGCGCTCTTCGCCTCCCTCGCCTTCTCCGCGTCGAGGATCCGGTGGAGCTCCGCGCGCTCGCGCTCCGCCATGTCCCGCGTCGCGTTCACCGCGATCGTCGTCGCTTCTTCGTGCGTCGCGATCACGCGCTTCAGCTCCGCGGCGTGCGCGTCGGTCGCGCGCGCGAGCGCAGACTCGTACGTCGACGCCGCCGCCGCCGCCTCGGCGACGCGCCGCGCGTCCGCGTCCGCGAGGAGGGTTCTCTCCCTCTCGCGCGCCGCGCGCGACGACTCGGCCATCGCGCGGTCGTGGCGCGTCGCCGCGTCCCTCAGCGCCGCGCGCGCGCCAGCCTCGTGCGCTTCGTCTCTCGCCTTCAACGCCGCGGCGTGCTCGTCTCGAAGCGCCGCGACGGCGCGGTCGCTCCGCGTCGAGGCCTCGGACGCGGCGGATTCGGACGCCGCGCGGATTTCCGTCGTCGCGCGGTCCAGCTCGGTCGCGTGCTCGCGCAGGCGAAACTCGACGTCCATCTCGTGCGTCTCCTCCAACGCGAGGACGACGCGTTCGAGCTCGAGGACGCTCGCGGCGGCTTGTTCCGCGGCGGCGGCGTCGCGCGTTCTGGCGGCGGCGGCGAGCGCCTTGGCGTGCGCCGCTCTGAGCGCGTCCGCCTCCGCTCGCCCCGCCTCCAGAACGCGCTAAACGTCCGCCTTGAGCGCGTCCACCTCCGCCTGCCTCGCCTCCTCCACGCGCGCGACCTCGCGCCAGCTGTCCGCGGTGGCGTCTTCGAGCGCGGTCCTCAGGAAGTCGTCGTGCGCGTCGTGCGCGCGCTCGAGCTCCGCCTCGTGCGCGCTCCTCGCCTGATACATCGCCGCCTCGTGTGCGCTTCTCGCCTGCTCCATCGCCGCCTCGTGCGCGCTCCTCGTCTGATCCATCGCCGCTTCGTGCGCGCGCGTCGCGTCGTCCAACGAGCGCGTCGCCGCCGCCTGTCGCTTCGCGGCGACGGCGGCGAATTCGCCCATCTGCTTCGCTTCGCCCGCCGCCGCCGCGAGCGCCGCCGCGTGCTCGCACTGCATCTCCTCGACGACGGACAGGTGCTCCGTCTCCTTGGCGAGCATCTGCTGCGCGGCCCAGGACGCGGCGTTCTCTTCCAGCGCGGCGGCGCCGCGCGCGAGCCGGGTCGCGACGACGCGTTCGCGCCACCGGAGAAAGCACGCGGATCTAGTAGATTTGGCCATCCGGATGCGCGCCACCACGAGATGCAGCGCGAGCCGCCCGGCCATGACGCCCATGACGCGGCTCTTCCACGCGAAGTACGCGCGCGTTAACGTCCTCGCGCGCTTGCGCGTCACGAACACCCCCGCCGCGACGCGGAGCGCGGTGAGCTGCCCCCCCGCCGCGGACGCCGACGCCGCCGCGACGCGCGCGCGCCACCCCCGGAAGGCGTTTCCGACGCCGGAGCGAAGGATGCGCGCGAACCGTCCGTCCGCGAGCGTTTTTAATCGTCGCGCGCGGACGTCGTCGCGATCGAGCGCGAGTCGAGTCTCGCGGAGTCCCCGCGCGTTGCGCCTCCACGTCCCGAGGGCGCCTCGAACCGCGCGACGTCGCAGCCCCGCGGCGATCTCAATTTCCGTCGACGCCGACGCCCTCGCCGCCGCGCGCCACGCCCGGTAACACTTCGACTCGACGTCTCTCCTTCTTCTCGCGATGACGCGCTCGCCTCGAGCGCGCGCCATCTCCGCACGGTGCGCGGACGCGGCGTCGTCCGCCGCCGCTGCCGCCGCCGCCGCCGCGACCATCCACCACGCTCGCAACGCCTCGCGTTTCGTCGCCGTGTTTTTCGCCGTCGCGCGTCGCTCCGCCGTCGCGCGGACCCACGCGTCTCGCGTCGCCGCGTCGCGCGCGAGCTCGCTCCAGCGCTTTATCGCGGATCGAACGCGTCGCTCGCGCGCTTTCGTCGACGCGGCGACCGCGCGATGGAGCTCGAAGTCGACCACGGCGGAGACTTTCTTCGCGGCGGCGGCGGCGGTGCGCCACCGGGTGAAACGCTCTCGCCGACGCCGGAGACCGCGCCTGGCGAGCGCGACGGAGACGAGCGTCTCGAGACACGCGCTTCTGCGCTCTTCCTCCGCGAGCGCTCGCCGCGCGAGGAACGCGTCGCGTCGCGTCTTCCCGCGTCGGTGACTCTGCGCGCACACCACCGCGGCGCGCGTGCGGTGGTAGTCTCGCCGCGCTTTCGCGCCCCGAGCGCGTTTCTGGCACGCGACGGCGGCGCGCCGCGCGGCTGCGAAAGCCTTCGCGGCGATCCACCCCCTGACGCGCGTCTGCACCGTCACCGCGGCGGCGTTCATCGCCGCCGTCGTAGCGTCGCGGGCGACCTCGCGCCACGCCTCGCAGGCGGCTCGAATCGCGCGCGCGTCCGCCCCGGCGGCGACGCGTCGACACGCGCGAAGAAACGCGCCGCGGCGGCGCGTCCTCGCCGTCGCCTCCGCGCGCCACCCTCTCACGACGCCCGTCAGCGCGAGCTTCATCACTCTCGCGTTCGCGTTTCGCACGGTCCACTTCCATATCGACGTCGCGTGCCGGACGCTCTGCCCCGAGCGCGCGAGGAGCCGCCACGTGGCGAACGACGTGGGGAGAATCCAGGACGCGTCGACCGCTTCCCTCCCGCGTCGGACGCGGCGAAGCGCCGCCAGCGTCGCGTCGCGCGTCGTTCGAACCTCCGCCGCGCGGGCGCGCCACGCGCGGAGCGCTCCGCGTTTCACCGCAAACGCCCTGCGTAACGTCCGCGACTCGAGCGTTTTAGCGATGCGGTCAGCGGTCGCCCGCCGCGTCGTCTCCGACGCGGCAAACGCGCTCCACGCGCGTAGCGTCCTCCGCCCGGCGTCGTTCGTCGTCGTCTCCGACACGTACGCGAGCCTGGTCGACACCCTCACCGCCGTGAACACCGCCCACGGCCGGAAGTACGCCGCCAGCGCCCGCGTCGTGCGTCTATTCACGCAGCGCGTCACGTCGCGGTCTAAAACGCGCGCGCGCCGCTGTTTATCCCCCGCGGTGGACTCGAGCGCGACGGCGGCGATTTGCGTCGCCGCCGCGAGTTGTCGCTCCGCGTATTCTCTCGTCTGCGTCGCGTACCACGCGTGCAGGGCGCGCGCGGCGACGCGGGCGCTCTTTCGATCGCGGAGCATCTTGACGATGAGCTCTCGATGAGCGCGCGTCTGGGATTCGAACGGCCGCGGCGGCGACGGCGGCGACGGCGAATCCGAGTCCGATTCCGATTGCGATTTCGATTTCGACTTTGATTTCGTCGTCGTCATCGTCTCCGCCGCCGCCGCGTCGAAGGCGTTCGCGATCGGCTTCGCGTGCGCCCACGCGCTCGCCGGCGTCTCCCCCGCCCACGCGGCGTCCCCTTCCACCGCGCGCGTGTACGCCATCAACAGCGGCGTCGCGACAACCTCGCAAGGACCGTCGAATTCGTCCTCCTCGTCGTCGGAGCCGATGGGCGTCGACGCCGGCGCCGCCGTCGTCGGGACCTCCGCCGCCTCGTCCGCCGTCTCCCACAGCCGCCGCCGCGGGTCCTCCACGGCGCCGCGCGAATTGAACTCGAACGACGCGGGAGAAGAGTCGTTTAATTCGTCGCTCGCGCTTCCCGCGCCCGCCGCCGCCGCCGCCGCCGGGGCCGCCGAGGGCGACGCCGGCGGCGGCGCCGACGCCGGGAGTAGGGTCTCCGGCGCCGTCCGCGGGGTGGCGCCCGATTCTGACGCCGTCGACGCGCGCGCCGGGGAGTCGTACCCGGCGCTCACGCGGAACGTCATCGTCGTAACGTCGCGTCTGCGGTCATCGTCGTCGTCTTCTCCCGCGGCGGCGGCCGCGCTCGACGCGGTGGACTCGTCGTCGCAGTAGAAGAACGTCGGCGGCGGCGCGTCCACGCCGCCGCGCGAGATGCTCACCCAGTGCACGGTCGCGATCGGTCCGGTCACGCGCACGCGCACCGCGGCCGGCGGCGCGTCGTCGACGCACGCGCCCCCGCCGCCGCCGCCGAACACGAGCGTGCTCGCGACGAAGTCGTCGTCGTCGTCGTCGTCGTCGTCGACGACGACGTCGCCGCGCACGCTCAGCGCCGTCGCGTCCGGGCGCACGACCGCCTCCGCGGAGACGGTTCCGTCGCGCGATTCGAGCGACAGCGCCAGGTGCGAGCGGCGCCACGTCGTCGCGGACGCGCTTATCGACGCGCGATACGGCCGCGTCTCGCGTCCGTCGGACGGCGAGGGAATAGCCATCGTGGGCGTCGCCGTCGTCGTCGCCGCGTCGTCGCGGGGTCGCGGCTCCGTCGACGCCGGTCGCGGCGACGACTCTGTCGTGGTGCGCGAAAAACTTTTCGCGTCGTCCCGTCCGACGCGCGCGCGGACCGTCCCCACGCGGCGCCGCCTCCGCCGCGTTCGCCCGCGCGTCAGCGCGAGCGCGCGTTCCTTCGACGAGCGCTGTTCGCGGGGTCACCCTCTCACGTCGCCGGTCGCGCTAGGTCGCGTCCGGACGAGTGCGCGCGAGGTCGCGACGCGGAGATTCGTACTACGAAAGTACAACGGTCGACCGGCGCGCGGCGCGATTTGGGTTTCGAGCAGGCGGGGCGTGTATGACACACTCGTGACGCAATTCTGAATTGCACTGCAACGCGTTCACTCCGAGCCGCGCGATCCGCCCCTCGCACCCTCCGCCTAGAACGATGTTTCTCCTCAGCGCGCTCAAATCCGCCGCGGTCATCTGCGCCAACAGCTTCGTCGCGAAGGTATACGTCACCGCGCGCTTCCGCTACCTCCTCGCGAACACGATCAAGGGGAATCTGTGGAAAAAAGCGTACCGCCTCCCGGACACGTCCGAGATCAAGGAGCTTCAGGACGGCCACCTCAAGCAAGACCCGACGTGGAAGCGCGTGCGAGCGACGCAGCTCAACGAGGTAGAGTGGACGTCCATCTGCCTGCCGCTGTGCCTGTACTTCGCCTCGAAGTCCAGCGGGGACGACCTCGCGTGCTCGATCATGGCGTGGACGCAAGTGGGGTACACGGTTGCTCGCGGGCTCCTCGGGTATCCGTACCAGATGCCGTTCGCGGTGCTTCGGTACGTCGGGCTCGGCCTCGGGGTCAAAAACCTGTGGGACATGGCGTTCTGATAGAGCGAGAGCGCAGGCAGGCGGGCAGGCAAGCGCGAAGTATGAGCCGCGCCGAGCGCGGCGGCGACTACGATTGAAATGAATTGAATAAGATAAAAAAAATAAACAACGCCGATTGCGATTCGACGCTTTCTTCACTCCCGCCCCAACGCCTTCACGAGCTCCTCCTTCGTCGCCCGCGGCCGGTCCGGCTCGACGCAGTGCCCGACGTCTTTGTGCAACCCAAAAATCTTCGTCGCGAAATCCCTCGTGTCCCTCTTCTTATACAGTCCCCTGGGCTCGAGCACGCCCCGCACCCCCGCGGTGGCCTTCTCCAAGTTGTAGTGCGGCATGTCCGAAAACATGTGGTGCGCGACGTGGCAGTCCGTGATGTGATGCGTCGCCTCGTCCACGCCGTACCCGAACTCGCGATCGATCGTCTCTAATCCCCCCAAGACGTACTCCCACTCGCCTTCCTTGTACGTCTTCGTGTCGTGGTCGTGGTGCTGGAGGTAGGTCACCGTGAAGAGCCACCACGAGAAGCACAGATACGGCGCGAGGTACTGCGTCGCCCACTGCGCGGGGCCGTCGCACGCGGCGAACGTCGCGAGGAGGAACGCCGCGCACGCGACCGTCGAGACCGCGCACTTGAGACGTTCGTCCTTGGGGGCGCGGTCGAACAGACGACCGGCCGGGTTGAAGTGCGAGCCGTCCGTGCTGCTCCACTTTGGCTCGAGGAGGAGATACCCGGGGAAGCCGAGAAACGCGCCCCATGGGTGATCGAGCGCGAGGAACCTGCGGTGAAGGCGCGGGTGAAACGCGAGACACCGGTCAGCGGTTGATCGGGACTCGCGGTCGAAAACCAAAAAATGAAACTCTGGCTGGCTGGGTGGGGGAAAAACCAAAAACCAGAAACCGAGCCGCCCGCCGCGCACCGAACGATCGCGTTCGTGTCCTTGTACCGCTCCGCGCTCATCCACGGGTGCGACATGTCCTTCTCCTCGTGGTTATGAAACCGGTGGTGCTGCTTGTGCGAGTACGCCCACGGGTAGAACGGCACGAGCAGCGGCGAGTGCGTCGCGTGACCGACGACGCCGTTGATCCACTTGTTCTCGCTGAGGGTCGTGGAGTTCATCGGTCAGTTGAAAGGAGACGCGATCAAGTGTTGAAACCGAGCTATGGGTGAAACACGTTTGTAGAACTGACGCACCTGAAACTGCCGTGCCCGCAGTCGTGCCCGACGACGAAGCACATCCACATGATCGTCCCGGTGACGGGGGCGTACAGCGGGAGCATCCACGGGTTATCCACCACGAGCGGAGACCACAGACCGAAGCAGGCGGCGAGGAGACCGAGGTCGATCGCGGCGTACTTCATCGACTCCCTCAGGCACGGGACGAAGCACTCCGCGGGGATCGCGGCTCGGAGCTCTCGGAGCGACGGGACGACGCCGGTCTTGTCGTCGTCGTCGTCCGCGTCCGTCGTCGTCGTGGACGGGGTCTCCATGGCCAGAGCGGAGCGCGTCGTCGTCGTCGTCGTCGTCGTCGCGGAGGACGACGTGCGGCTGGACGCCGCGCGGACGGTCGCGACGCGGCGCGCGCGGCGCGAATACGAGGAGGACGTCGCGACGGCGGAGACGGCGCGATCGACCGGACGCCTCGACGTGGCGCCTGCGCCGACGCCGACGACGGAGGACGCGCGCGAGAGCGTCGTCGCCGCCGTCATCATGCCGTGCCGCCGCGCGTCGCGAGCCGCCTCGACGACGCGAGCCGCGTCTGGACAGGGAAGGGGGTTCGAGTCTCGAGTCGAGCGCGGCGCGTCTCGCGGTGTGCCGGCGTCGCGTCCCCGATGACGGTTCGGGATGGGTGACGCTGCGAGACTTGGACGCACGAGAACCTCAGAAACGCGCGCGTCGATCTTCATCAGCTTCACTCCGTCCGCGCGCCGACCCAGCGGGCGATGACGACCGGCGCCAGCGCCGCGATGCGCGCTCGCGCGACCGCCGCGACCCCGCGCGCTCGCGCGCCGACGCGCCATCGCGCGGCGACCGCGACCTCCTCCTCGCGCGGCGCCGCGGCCCGCCACCGCGTCCGCGCGGCGGTCGGGGAGAGCGCCACGACGACGTCGACGTCGTCGTCCGCGTCCTCGGACAAGTCGCACGACACCGAGGTCGTCGTCATCGGCGCCGGGATCGGCGGCCTGACCGCGGGCGCGATGCTCGCGAAGTACGGCGTGAAGGTAACGGTGCTAGAGTCCCACGACATCGCCGGCGGCGCCGCGCACAGCTGGCATCGCGACGGGTACACGTTCGAGTCCGGGCCGTCGCTCTACTCGGGAATGTCGAAGTGGCCGACGACGAACCCGTGCGGGCAGGTCTTACACGCGCTCGACGAGCCGCTGCCGTGCGTGTACTACAACACGTGGATGTGCCACCTCCCAGAAGGGAGCTTCCTCACGGAGGTCGGGAATGATCAGTTCGTCGACGTGCTGAGAGAGTTCGTGGACGAAGATGCGGCGCGAGAGTGGATTCGACTGAAGGAGCTCATGAAGCCGCTCGCGTCGGCGTCCGCGGCGCTGCCTCCGTCCGCGGTGCGCACGGACCCGTTCGCGGCGGTCACGCTCGCGAGGTTCGTCCCCGGCCTGTTGCAAGCCGCGCCGGCGCTGCCGCAGATCATGGCGCCGTACAGCAAGTTCCTCGACGCGAACGACGTCAAGCACCCGTTCATTCGCAACTGGATGGAGGTGCTGTGCTTCCTCCTCTCGGGCGCGCCCGCCAGCGGCACGCTCGCCGCGGAGATCGGGTACATGTTCGACGACTGGTACAAACCGAACAGCACGCTCGAGTTCCCGATCGGAGGGTCCGAGGCGATCGTGGACGCGCTCGTGCGCGGGCTGGAGAAGAACGGCGGACGGCTGCTGTTGCGGTCGCACGTCGAGCGCATCGACGTCGTCGACGGCCGCGCCGCCGGCGTGACGCTCCGCGGCGGCGCGAAGATCACCGCGTCCAAGTCCGTCATCTCGAACGCGACGGTGTGGGACACGCTGCCGATGCTCCCGGCGGGGGCGATGGACCCGGGTTGGGCGAAAGAGCGAAACGACACGGAGATGTGCGCGAGCTTCATGCACTTGCACCTCGGCGTCGACGCGACGGGGCTACCCGACGACCTCGAGATGCACCACATCTACGTCGAGGACTGGTCCCGCGGCGTCACCGCGGAGCAGAACATGGTGCTCGTGTCCATCGCGAGCGTCGCGGACCCGAACCTCGCGCCGGCGGGGAAGCACGTAATTCACGCGTACACGCCCGGGAACGAGCCGATCGACTTGTGGCAGGGGCTGGACCGGCGCGGCGACGAGTACAAAAAGTTGAAGGAGGAGCGGTCGAAAGTGCTGTGGCGGGCGGTGGAGAAGGCGATCCCGGACGTCCGCGAGCGCGTCGAGATCGAGATGGTCGGGACGCCGCTGACGCAGCAGCGGTTCCAGAGGAGGCACAAGGGGACGTACGGAGGCACCGGGTGGATCAACGAGGACACGGATACGATTCCGATCACGACGGCGTCGACGCCGTTGCCCGGATTGCTCGTCGTCGGGGATAGCAACTTTCCGGGGCCGGGGGTGCCGTCCGTCGCCGCGCACGGGTGGTCCGCCGCGCACGAGCTCGTGCCGTTCTGGAAGCAGTGCGCGATGCTCGATAAGGTGGCGCCGTGACGTGAGCGGTCGTCGGATCGAATCGGAACGCGAGGACGACGGCGAGAGCGAGAGAGAGCGGACTGCTGGAGGGGAAAAGCTACTCGAGGAAAATACCAAAAGATCCAAAAGATCGTCCGTCGTTTCGTCTTCCGAACTCCTCGCGCGCTCGTCGACCTCGTGTCTCCGCCCCGCGACGACACGTACCGTCACCGCCGCTCGAGACCGAGGTCTCGTGTTCGGCGCCTCCGCTCCTCGGAGCCGAACCCGACGTCGCGAGACGGCGTTTTTCGTCCAGGACCTGACGCGCGCTCGCCTCCGCGGCGTTCCCTCACTCTCCCTCGCGCGCACCCCTCGCCACGCTCAACCTCCGACGACCATCATCATGAACCTCTCTCGCGCGCGCCTCGCGCTCTTCTTCGTCCTCTGCTGCGTCCTCGCCGCGCTCGCCCCCGCGAGCGCGCTCCCGACGGCGGCGAGCGCGCCGCGCAGAGCGAACCGGAGACTCCTCGTCACGAAAGAGACGTCGCTCGCGGTCGACCCCGTCGGCGCGGTGCGCTCCGTCACGCTCACGAACGGGGTATCGTTCAACTTCTTCTGCGAGTTCGTGAAGCCGATGCTGGACTTCGAGCTCCCGCCGCAGTACTGCGGCGGCGGTCGATGAGCGACGCGGCGGCGCGGCGCGGCGTCGAGACTCGCGACGGACAGGACGTTTCCAATAAGAAAGGAAAAAGAATACGAGTACTTTCGTACACCCTACGCTCACGCGAGACTAGCGGCTACCGCGGCGGTGTGACTCCTCAGCACAGACAGCGCGAGCTCGACCCTCTGCCGATCCCTCGCGTCCTTCACCCACCCCTCGACGGCGGCGGCGGCGGCGGTCCCCTCGGCGCCCTTCTCCAACGCGTCCGCCGCCGCCGCGAGCTCCCCCGCCGCCATCGCTTCCGCGGCGACCGCGATGGCAGCCTCCACGCCCGCGCCCTCGCCGCTCCCGCCGCCGCTCCCGCCGCCGCGCTCACTGACTCTAAACATCGCCGCGAGCGTGGCGACGAGGTGCGATAACACCCCGCCGCCGCCGCCGTCCGGGACGAGCGCCAACGCCCTCGCCGCGCGTTGCACGTCTTCGAGGCGGTCGGCCAGTCGCTCCGTCGTCGGCGTACCCTTCGTGGGTAACGTCTTCAGCACGGCCGTTATGAGGGCGTCGTCGCTCGCATCGCCGCCCGCGGTCGCCGCCGCGCTCCGGACGAGTTCCGCTTCCTTCTCGAACGAGCCGCCGCGCGACGCGGCGGCGTGGAGCGAAAACACCGCGAGCGACAACCGGTTCGAGCGATGCGATCGCTCCAACGCCGTCCCGTTCACGTCGTACGCCTCCTTCAACGCCGCCGTCTTCATTCGAATCTCGTCCAAGATGGTCGCGCGGTGCGCGCGCTCTTTCACGACCGCCTCCGCGGCGGCGGCGGACAGCGCCGCGGCTTGCTCCTCGAGCAGACGGGTCGTGTTTTTTTCCGCCTCCGCGGCGGCTTCCTCCGCTCGTCTCTCCGCGTCTTCGCCCGCTCTCGTCAGCTCTGCGGCCAGCGCCGCGACTCTCCTCTCAGATTTTTCAACCTCGGACGCGAGAGCCTCGATCGTGTTCGCCGCGTGCTCGGCCGCGACCGCGTGCTCCGTGCGCAGCGCCGCGGTCGACGACGCGAGCTCGGCGGCGTGTCGCTTCTCTCTCCGTTCGACGTCCTCGGCGAACGCCTTCGCGTCCTCCTCAGCCTGGTACACCATGGCTTTGTACGTCCCGGACCATTCCTTGTCGTCCTGTGAGCGAACGAGGGAGTGCGTGCGTCGTCGCGCGCGCGGGCGTGAGTTTAGGTTGAAGACGAGGGAGGAGAGAACGATCCCCGAAGAAGAAGCGGAAGAAGAAAAAAATGTCGTCCGGCGTTTTAGACGGCGTCGGCGTCGACGACCCGCCGCGACACGACCGGCGTTACGAAGCCGCGCTAAATTGAGCAACGCGCGACCCCGAGGACGATTCGTGTTGGCTGTGTGAAAGGACCGCCGTGGCACGGTGATTCCCACGGTAGTTGAGTATTCAGCCCCGAGCGGGCGGACGGAAAGGGAAAGGGAAAGGGAACGACCGACGGCGACGAGCGACGCACCTCGACGGCGCCGTCGAAGGCGCGGGACACGAGCGCGGCGGGCGTCAGCGACGCGGCGCCGTCCGCCGCGTCGTCGTCGTCGTCGCTCTGGACGGCCGGCGCGACGTTCGGGTGCTTCGCGAGCGCGCGATTTCGCGCGGCGGTCGCCGCCCCCGCGGCCGCGACCGAGGCGTCCTTCCTCCGGGGCGTCGGCGACTGTTTTTTCGCGGACGACGCGGACGACGCGGACGACGCCTCCTCGCGCTTCTTCGTCTCCGCGGATCGCTTCGCCGCGAGGAGCATCTCCGCGGCTTCCCTGAACACCTCCTTGTCCTCCTCGGTGACTTCTTCTTCGAGCTCTTCTTTCGGCGCGTCTTTGATGATCACGACCGGCGGCGGCGTCTTCTTCGTCGCGGCCGCGGCGCGGTCCCCCGGCGTCGTCGCCGCGGACGACGCGCGCTCGCGCGTCTCGCTCCCGCGCTCGATCGACGCGGGCGCATCCTTCGCCCTCCACCGCGCGCCGTAGTAGTACGCGTTGTACGCCAGGGCCCCGAGCGAGAGGAGGAGGAGCAACGGCACGTTCGGATTGCGAGCGCCCTCCTCGCCCTCGCGCGCCGGCGGCTCGTTGCTCGGGCTGACGCGCGGCTCGGAGGACATCGTCCGACGCTGATGATGCCGACGCCCGGGCGCGAAGAACCCTACGGACGCCCCGCGCGCGATCGTCGGCATCGCGCGCGATCCGATCGCGGGCGCGGCGGGCGTCGCGGCGCCGCGCGCGAGCGCGGCGACGCCGCGGAGCAGACGCCCCGCGGACCGCGTCGACGACGCCATCGGTCCGTGCGCGTCGCTTCGTTGTGAGGAGGACGCGGAGGGCGCTCGTCTCATCATCAGATTTGAAGTCGAGAGACGGGAGGCGAAGACGCAGACGCCGGTTCGCCGGTTCACGTTCCCGAAATGGAGAGAGATCCCCCCGCGCGCCGCGCCGCGCAGCACGACACCGCGCGCGCGACGTCATGCCCGCGCTCGCGACGATCGACGCGCGCGGCGAACGCGCGCGCGCGTCGAGGAAGGACGCGCGGCTGCGCCGGATCACCGCGCGATGGGCGCCGCCCGTCTCGGGACGAAACGGGACAACTCCGCTGCATCTCTGCGACGACGACGACGACGGCGACGCGGCGCGCGCGCGCGATCCCGGGGACGACGACGTGGGGCGACAGATATCGGACGAGGGCGCCGCGCCGCCGCGGCAGATATCGTACGCGCGGATCGATCGCGCGACGCTCAAACGTCTCGGCGCCGCGGCGCTCGCGCGAGCGGCGGCGAGCGCGGCGCATGAGGCGGGATCGTCGCCGGAACCCGCGACGACGACGACGACGACGACGAAGTCGCTCGTTCGCGACCTCTTCCGTCCTCCGCCCCCGCCGGACGCGTCGTCGTGTCCGTCCGCGAGCGACTTCCTCGCGAACCTCCTCGTCCCAGGGCAGCTCGGCGGGCACACGCTGAAGGGACCGGCGCCGGCGGACGCGCCGGACGCGCTGCCGCCGGTGCGTCGCGCGCGATCGCGACCGTTCGTCTTCCCATCCCCGTGCGCGACGATGGCGAGGGACGCGGCGAACGAAGAGAAACGGCTGCGGCGGTGCCGTTTAGGCCCAGAGGCGTGCGAGACGGAGGACGACGCGCGCGCGACGGACGCGACGAAGACGCGCGCGGGCGTCGTCGCCGACGGCGCCGACGCCGACGCCGACGCCGAAGAGGGAGAACCGCGGACGAACGGTGAGCGTCTCTGGGAGACGGCGCGGACGCTCGTCTTCGACGCGCTCGCGCGTCCCCTGGAAGGGGGCATCGCCGAGAACGACGACGATATCAACATAGCGTTAGACGTGCTGATGATGACGACGACCGCGTCCGAAGACGCGCCGGGTCCCGCCGGCGGCGGCGGCGGCGGCGTCGCCGCCGCGGAGGCGCCCGCGCCCGCCAAAGCTCGCGGCGAGCGCTCCGAGGACGTCGCCCTCGCGCGCGCGCTCATCGCGAAAACGCAAGGTCGGTCGCAACACTGGAAAGGGTTCACATGCGACGAGCTCGACGTCCTCGCGCGGGAAGTGAGCATCGTGAGCTACGACGACGGCGAGCGCGTGATGCGAACGGGCGAGGCGGCGGATTTCGTCGCGTTGATCTTGTCCGGCGCCGCGCGCGTCGAGATCGCGGACGTTCGTAACGCGTCTCAAACGACCGTTTCAACAAATTCGAATACCAAACGCCGCGTCGCCGGGGTCTTCGGACCCGGGTCGCTCATGGGCGAGATGGCGCTGTGGGAGGGCGGCGTTCGGTCCGCGGACGTCATCGCGTGCGGCGAGGACGGAGGGACCGTCGTCGGGTTGTTTCACTTTGACGACTTTGTGGATTTTTTCGAGCGGGACCCGCGCGTCGCGATGAAGCTGTTCCAGCTCTTCGTGCACGCGTCCACGAGCAAGCTGAAGGAGTGGCGGCTGCAGACGATGCTCTCCGCGACGGGCGCGAGCCGCGAGCCGCGGCCGCGCGGCGCTGGCGGCTCGGAAGACGAAGAAAAGAAATTGAACGACGAAGACGACGACGACGACGACGACGACTTTCTCGAGCTCGCGCGAGCGGCGCACGCGACGCGCGCGCTCGGGGACGAGATCAAGGACGCTGACCTCATCGCGATGTCCAAGCGCGTCACGCTCGCGAGAGGCGACGTCGGCGCCGTCGTCGTCGCCGCCGGCGCGCTCGCGGGGTCGCTCGTGATCGTGCTGAGAGGGAGAGTAGAGAGCTGGAAGGGCGGGTACGAAACCGGGGAGATGTTAACCTCGCACGGCGTCGGCGAGATGGCGTCCGTGGAGGATTTCGTCGAAGCCGTCCACGGGCCACACGAGCAAAGCTGCGACGTCGTCGTCGCGGAAACGGATACCGTGTGTGCTTTACTATCTGTCGCCGGTTTAGTGGAAGGCAACGCCGCGGACCCGGAGGCGATGTTTAAGCTCGCGTGCGCCGCGGGGGCGACGATGGCGCGGGAGTTGTCGAGTAGGTTAGAGACCGCGCGCGCGGCGGCGAACGACGCCACGACGACGACACAAGCCGTGGTGGAGGAGAAGAACGACGACGACGACGACGACGACGAAGAAGAAGAAGAAGAAGAAGAGGAGGAGGAGGAAGAGAAACAGGAAGAGGAGGACGAAGAGAAAGAGAAAGAGAAAGAAACGAGCGACGAAGACAACGAGCGGCGCACGGAGGAAGAACCCGCAGACGCGGAGCCCCCCGCGCGGACCTTTCCGTCCGTCGTCGTCGCGCGGTGGCGATCGATCGACGCGGCCGCCGAGGAAGACGCGCGCCGTCGCGAGAAGGACGACGAGAGCGAGCGCGTCGATTCTCCTCAGGACGACGCGCTTCTCCCTGTTCACAGAAAAACGCACACGGACGAGGCGTTATTCGACCACCACACCGGCGAGTACGACGACGACGCGCCCTCGCTTCTTCGCGCGGTCGTGTCGTTCAGCCCCGCGTTCCGCGGGTTCGACGACGCCGAGATCGACGTTCTCGCGCGGCACGTGAGCCTCGTGAAAGGTGGGTGTCACACCGGTCCCCATACGACCCCGTTCGCGTTGTGCGCGCTGGTCCTTAAGGACATTTCCCGGCGTTTCTCTCCGCCCACACCACGGTTTCAATCCCCGACGCGATGCCTTTCAACTCCATCTGACGCCTATGAACTCCACCCCGACGTCGCTTCGTATGGAACGACCCTCGTGAAAGTCTCTGCGGGGCGCCAAATCATCAGACAAGGCCAGCACCCCACATTCGTCGCCGTCTTAATGAGCGGCGGCGGCAGCGTCGTGAACGGCGACGGCGACGTCGTCGCCGCCGTCGCCGCCGGAGACGTCGTCGGCGAGCTCGCGCTGTTTCAACCGGGCGTGCGGCGCGGGACGGTGATCAGCGCGGAGGACGACACCATCGTCGGCGCGTTCGCGTTTGAAGATCTCGCGGCGATGGCGAAACGGTCGCCGACGTTGGGTTTGAAGACGTTGATGCTGTACGCGCGGCTCGCGGGGACGCGCGCGCACGATAACATCGTGCACGCGTCGCCGAGAGAAGTCATCGGCGGCGTCGCCGTCGGCGACGGCGACGCCGGCGCCGTCGCGACGATCCTGAAAGCCGCGCACGCGGCGGCGGCGGGTCTCGACGGCGACGGTGACGCCGGACTCGCGAGCGGCGTCGCGGACGAAGACATCGAGACCATCGCGTCGTTCGTCGACGTCAGGCGCTTCGCCCCCGGGGAGGTGGTGTTGCGAGAAGGCGACGTCGGCGGCGGCGTGCTCTTCGTGACGTCCGGCGCCGTGGACGTCCGCATCGGCGGCCCGCGAGGCGTCCTCCTCGAGCGTAAGACGACCGGGGAGTACGTCGGCGAGGGCGCGTACTTAGAGCACGGCGGCGGCGCGAGCGCGAGCGTGGACCCCGGCGCGGCGCGCCGCCGCCGTGCTCTAAGTAAGCGCCCTCGCCGACGTACTCACCGGTCGTCTTACGCTCGAGGAGGACGCCTCGCGGGCCGCCGATGCGGACGTCCACGGCGCCGGACGTCACGAAGAGCACGCAGCCGCAGACGTCGCCTTCTCGACAACACCACCTCCCCGGGGGCGAAGCGCCTGACGTCGACGAACGACGCGATGGTCTCGATGTCTTCGTCCGCGACGCCGCTCGCGAGTCCGGCGTCACCGTCGCCGTCGAGACCCGCCGCCGCCGCGTGCGCGGCTTTCAGGATCGTCGCGACGGCGCCGGCGTCGCCGTCGCCGACGGCGACGCCGCCGATGACT